AGGAGGAGATAATTTTGGAAATATGGATGCTGGAATTATAAACCTTGTCATATTATTATGATGTGGGAGTTTGAAGAAAATCCTATAATGATTGAAGAAGTTGGAGTAACAATTCCCAATTTCTCGAAAAAAAAGTCTTAAGTTCAAAAGGGGCATAATTCTGGAAATAGTCTTGCTAGATAATTGAACAAATGTTGAGTGATAATAAGAAACAAATATATGAAGTTTGAAGTTGATACATTCAGAAATAAAGAAGTTATTAAAAAAAACAATATTTTTTCATGAAAATTCTAAGTTCAAGGGAGAAAATTCTGATAAAGTTTGTGCTAGAGTTGTAAACCTTGTCACATATGATGTGGTTGATGACTAGAAACTTATATTTAAAGTTTGAAGAAAATGCATTAAGAAATAAAGAACTTTTAGTGAAAAACCATAAAAACTAGAATCAGAAATCTTGAATTTCAGTCTATTTGTTGCCATAGCAACCAGATTTTTCAACATAGGAAGAAAAGAAAAGGATGTGTCCAATTTCCAAACTGCCATCTACCCATATTTAAAGTTTCATGAAAATATTTCTAGTACTTTTTTTCTAGGTTATGTGTAAAATTTGCCATATTTTCAGTCTATTTGCCATAGCAACCAGAATTTTTTAACATAGGAAGAAAAGAAAAAGACGTGCATAATCTCCATACTGCCATCTATCCATATATCAAGTTTCATAAAAAAATTTTCAGTACCTTTTTACCTGTAGGGCACTAAAAAGACTTCTCTACTTTTTCAATTGGATTTGACCAATACATTCGTAAGATATTCATAGAACTTCCCGTAAATTACTTGGGTTACTGACTTCACATGTACATGTAAAGTATAATATTAAATTAAATACAAATATGACACAATGTCAGATTATTTTGACTTTTACCTTCATTCACCATTTACACTTATAGCATAATGCCACTGTAAAAAGTTAAAGTGAGATCTGATACAACAATCAGGTAAGGTACAGGTGTGGTATTGGTTTTAATTATTTGTTTTTTGATGTTACAACGGGAAAATGTATTGAGCTTGTCATATTTTAAAGTTTTCAAAATTAACAATAAATTAGGAGAAGCTAATGTGATACCTGCTACAACAATACCTGTTGAAGTGTAATATCATATCGTTACAAACATAATGACAATTTCAAGATGTGCAGGTGTGCTTTCTTTTTAATTATTTTTTCTTGTAAAATTGAAAAATGAGAAATTTATCTAATTATGTTTTGTACGTGTTTTAAATAAAATATTTATGGGATTCTAGAATACTTAGTTATTCTTTATCACTACGTCAAGAGAAGCATCGTAATTTTCAAAATAGAACTTTCATCTTATTGTATTTATAATCGTCGTTATTGTAAAGATATACTAACATGTATTAAATTTTCATTTTGTGAAACATTAATGTGATGTTTTTTTAAATTTTGATTGCTGTTTTTCATATTTTTATTTGCTGACTTTAACTCATAATGGTCATATGACGGCTTTGCAACTTTACTAGTGAAAAAACTAAGGTGCTCGAGCACCTGAGAAGTACCATGCTTTGATGTATTTCTTAAAAAAACTAGGTCCATAATGGAAGGTATATAGAACCATAAATATTAATGTTGAAAGTATTTTGTAACATACCTAAAGAATTATACATGAATGTTGTTGGTAAGTGTTAGATATCGTCTGATATGACTATCTATATATAGCAGATAACGAATTGTTGCAGGAAAAAATACTATTATTCATCATATAAATTTTTTCTAAGAATATTTTATAAGAAGATCTAAATGACACACAGTTTTTGTTGTATATCAATTTGAAATACGTATGAAAAATATGCGCAGAGTAGACCAATCCACTTTTAAATGAAATGATAAATACGACTTCTTGATATTACAAATACCAACTTTGTGACTTCAAAATCTGATTTGTGTAGGCAGTGTATTGTATTTCTTTATTTAAAATTAAGAAATAAAACATATTATTTCCTTCAAAGAGGTAGACATAAAACCTAGACGTCTGCAAATTATACTGTATTCCTATGAATAATAAATAAATGATATTCAGCCTGTTATTAACGTAATGCGGCAGGAATAACCTTACTGATATAAAGTACCAGATATCTATGCATGCATACCTTTAGCAACTGTTAATCATACGCCACATAAAGCATCAACTTTTCAATGTTTATCAAATTGCAATGGAAATTAGAATATACTTCTTGGATTGTATACAAGTATAAATGGAAACGAAGAATATGCAAGGTATCAGGTGTAAAATAAGATGCTTTGGCTAATTTATAGTATTACAGTTTGTCAACTATCTCGAAAAAATTACAACTTAAGTTTAAATGCACTTAGGTAAAATAAAATAAAATGTATAAGTGCAGAAATGAATGAAACTGTGGAGCGCTTTTCTCCTTAAGATAACGGTTGTAATTATACTTAGTATCTCTTTTGTACGCAGGAAATAAAAGACAGAGAAAATGAAACACAGGAAAAGTCCTAAAGAGCTCCCATTATTGACCTATATAATTTGAAATTATTCATGTATAAAATGTGGTAATAGTCAATTATCTTTTATAAGAGTTCCATTACTTGAACATGAAATTAAAGGTTTCATGGATGAGCGTCGTTCCTTGTTCATTGATAATTGAACCTATTTCTGTAAATAATTACGTTGTCGTCTTATCTGACACTTGCACTATATCATTATTCGTTTTAAGTGATTTCTTTTTTGAGTTTGCATTAAAATGCAGCTTCTGATAGTCATACAAATAACATGTTTAAGAATTTAATAACTAAGAGATGTTAGGGTATTTACATAGTTATCATTTAAGCCTTTATCTGCTGGGGGCAACTGATTCTACCCAAGTCATCGTACGTGAAGTACGTGATTATGTTCTGCATTGTTCGCTATTCAATCAGTAAATATTTTGAAATTGTCCCTAAACATGATGTCCATAGTGAACGATAGAAAAGACCATCTCAGATACTGAGCGAGTTAAGGGTTAAATACAGTGTTCCGGTAAAAAATCATACCATATCTCCTTTACGGAATGTTTTAAGGCGTAAAGTGTATCAAAGGTACAATTAAATAACTTTTTGATCCAAAGTTCTTCATTTTAAGTCATTTACGCTTTGGTTTATTCCCTAAAACGTCATTAAGAGCTGAACAGAGAAGCTTAACACTCCAGTCTCAATTTTTAAAGGACAAACATAATGCATGCATGTTTAAAGCAAATTTGAAACATGTTTTATTATGTCCTTACAATTTAGCCCTTGTTTTAAAAGTGTAACGCTACATGCCCTTTACCAATTGAATGCAAACAGGAAAGACACTGAATGTTACGCTGTAACTTGTCAGTTACCATAACAAGTAAACTTGTTAAAATATTGAATGGCATAGTGTCACGTTGACAACAATTGAGATTCCTTTGTTATTAATGCAACTTGAAGCTCGAACGATACATATATATTTATTCATGCGCATTGATTATATACCACAAAAGTATGAAATCAATCCGAGAAAAATGAATTATGAATGAAAGAATATTCTACAAAACATAGCATGTTCAAAATAAACCTAGGAAACAGAAGAAAAAAAAATAAAATCATTTTGTTGACTTGTTTCCTATTATAATTATGTCCGTTTTGTATAGTAATTTACAATTTTAACAATGTTGTTAAGACAATTATGTCAAAACAACTAAGTGTTAAACTTCCCGTCATAATATTGTTTTATAAATAAATAGTAAAAGTTATTTTCAAAGAAACGAAATAGTATTGTGAAATTGTTAAAGTTAAATGTAAATATAGCTTCAGATTTTTCATAAAGGGTTATTCTGCTTAAATGATTTTGCATGGTTGTTTGATTTGTAATCTTAATTTCAGAATAAATACTGAAGTCATACACTTGTGATTTGTCATCATCATTCATGTACACAAAGAAAAATACGACGGTGTTTATCTGCTAATTATTACTGCTTACGTACTACAGACATCATGATATTTGCGGCTTTTCCTTCTATACATGCACTTCTTCCGTTAAATGGATTAACCGAGGAAAATCGGTTAAAGCACGAGACTTGTAATTTTGACATTGTGAATTCGATTCCCTGGAGAGGCCGACTAAAATTGCTTGGATGAGACTTTCAATCGGGGTAACGTGTATGAGTTCTTGAACACTTGGCACGTTTACGAAACAGAAAAAACTTCTAGCAATAGGGCACCTTTCTGTATCTGTATCTTGTACTATCCTCCAATATCTAGAATGACTAATACTCCTCTTGAGGACTCGCCCATATGGACAACCGGTGGCAAGTATAAATGTACTCAAATACACTCACATAAATAACTAAATAAATGTATTGACATGATCAGTTCTTCTTTTGTTTTCTTTTCATATGATATTTTTTCAGCTCTCACAATTACTAATGTTGCAATATTTAATTTTTATCTTTTAAATAAAATCTTTCAATCGATATACAATATATCATCTATCGGTTTGATACGACGAAATTAACCCATCAGTCCTACGGTCTCAAAATATGTGTTTAACAGCCAATGTTTACTGCTCAGACTTGCATAACAATCAGACACACATCAAGAATCTAATATGATCAATACCAGACAAAAGAATGCTACCATATCAACTGCAAATATTTGAATGAAAATTGCAAATGAGGAAAAGTTTAAACTGCTGTTATGAAACTACAACGAATCTTTTCTTGCCACATAATATATTAGCAGTGCACATAGGAACTCTGTTTCAAAGTACTGTACTGTGTATTGGTATGTGTTACAAGTTATGGAAGGTATTTTCAAGCTGTCTGATATCCTGTTTTAGTTTTGATTTTATATTTTTTCTTCAATAAGGTAATTGTATTCAAATTCATTAAACAAGATAAATAAAATATTTGTCGTCATATGATTTAATTTTTTATTTTATAAGGTAAACAATAATAAAACTTACACTTTTGCTATAAGTCCAAAAACTGTCACTTGCCACTTATCATCTTGATATCTGAAATAATTCAGAAAAAAAATTCAGAATGCAACGAAAGAATCTTTTCATAACTGAAGTAAAATTTATATCATTTGATGAAAATTTTGTTCAACAGTCTTTCAGAAAAACATTTCAATTTCCAGTGGTGTTGTTTTGACATTTTGTTTCATTTCATAAATAATTGACAGCTAATCATTCCATTCAAGTACGAAATGCTGTCATTGTAATGCACGAGCATGCTGGGTACATTGTTTGACAATAAAATAAAGATTTGATACACACACATGTTTCATTATAAAGGTGACATAAAATCAAAGTACCTGTTTTTACTTAAAAAGCATAACAATCAAATATAAAAAGAACAGAATTGTCTCTCGCAAATGTTGTTTAGTTTTTTCCATTCCTTGAGATTAATGGGAAATTTAGATTTCATTGAAATCCTTAATTAACTTCAGCCTGAATAATTGAATTAAATTGATTACCCTCTGAGAATTGTCATTGACTTAATATATCTTGTGCACTTTGTCTTTGAAGATCGGACAGTATTTTATGTGTTCGTACAAACATTTTATTTCCTCTTTTTACACTTCCAAATACATTCTTTGTTTTTGTTTATATATATCTTGTATACATGGTGTGTGTTGTCTTAATACTTTACAATCATGCAATGCCGTTGGAGCGTTTTATTTGCACTTTATATCAAAGCAAAATCAAAGTTAAAGTATCGTTTCTTTCTGTCAACTTACTAATGAATATTTATGTAAGCAGATGGACTTCTAAATATTCAGTAATGCTATTATTTAAAAAAAAAACGTTTTTAATTACGCAATGTGTGTTAAAGAAATCTAAATGTCCTTATCAATGAATGGTGATTGCTCAAGAGGATTTGTTTGTTTGCACCTTTTTACAGCGAGGTATTTTAGTATAAATTGCTATTTAATTGAACCATTTCATCAAATATAATGGTAATTTAGACAAGGAATACTCTCATACAGTTTTATAAAACAATATTGAAGGTTTTATATTGTATCTAATAGGTACAGGTGTTTTTAAACATTTAATTATGTTTCCTTTAATATGTTTGAATTAATCATCAATGTGGGAGAACGTAATATAAATCTGACCAATTAATGTAAAAACCTCGCTTTGTAAATGTTAACCGTTAGCCATGTACTTTAGTATTGTCGCATATCTTTCTATTGTTCTGCAGGACTTGTTAAAAATTAATGACAGACATTGCCTACAATGACAAAGGTTTTCTTTTATAATTTTATTTCTATAAATAATTACGCTGTTTCTTGTTTCTCGCCGCTCAAATTTGATCTGAAGAAAATATTCCTTTATTATATGATATTTACACGAATGAATAATTTGATGACTTTAATTCTACAGCTGATATGGACTCAGGCGGAAAAATGGAAATACAATGTCTTTTTTAAAAACAAAACAAACAACAGAATAAACATAATCGTATTTCCATGCTTTTTGTTGAAAAGAGTAACTATAAATAAAAGGTATATATCATTTCTTTGAAGTAAAATGCTATGTATTATATTGTTTTTTTATAAAGTCTCATGTTAAATCTTTAACTGAAGAACGTACGGTTTGTCACAAATCTAAACTTATAACTCTTTTGCGTATGGTTAAAGTCAACAATTGTTAAAGCATGAGTTTTTTATACAGTCATATTATATTAACTAAAATAGTTCCAGAAAGACGTTTCCTTGATTACCAAAGAAGGACATAATATGTTTCATACAATAAAATCAAAATACCATTGCTTCTGTAAAATGTTTGATTACAAATTGCGTGTAGATTTAAAAAGAATAGGAAATTAGACTACTCTAAACAGTGACATTGAAAATGTTGCAGAGTCGGCATGGTCGAATCCTCTTTAAAAATTCATGTGCCAATTATCTTCATGGCAAACATGGCTTATATTAAGCAGCTTTGTATGAACAAACCTCATTCAATTTCATAACATAATGCTCTTTGAATTGTTAAGGTGCAATTTTAATGAGCCAGTATCAAATCAATATGCTATCTTTTAATCTTTAAATAATTTCATTGTTAACAATTCTCAGGACGCAGCTGCATTACAATATTTTATTGTCACATTATGGTTAAAATGAAGTTTTAAAGTTCATAAATAGTTATTGCACTTTTATCGCTGTATTAATATTACTTCATTTATATTGAAAAAATGATAAACAATGAAACATGCATTTGTTTGAAAGGAATAATAGTACATTGTTACGTCGAACTTAATGCCATTAATTGATAAGGTTCAAAATAGCAGTGGTAAATCTAATTACGATTGTATTTTAACAATAAATGTCTGCTGCAATGATGGCACGGACAAGACCATAATTTTTTTTTGTTGTTATCACATTAAATATCGAAATTAAAAACAAAGCTTAACAGTGCAACACAATTTTTCTGTTGAAAAATAACAAGAAAACTCTTAACAAACTTAACATATTTAGCATTCACATGACCTTTTAAATATGATAAAGTCAATTTTTATTTAAAAGGACTCCACTGCATTGTTTTGACATGATGGTAATAGTGGGACTCGAAGCATTATTTCAAGACTTGTATCCATTTGATGAAGGGTCTGAAGTTTCAGTTTTTCAAATCATTCATACATCCCAATTTTTAACAATAATCATCACAAATCGTGCAACGCTTTTAACTCATGTCGGTCTAAGTATTGAACTAATTATCGATTTTCAATTTAACTCTGAGACGTTTGTGTATCATCCTTTGAGGATTTTTTTCCATTATAAATGCTACATTCAGTCGATATAAAAATTTGAAATTTTATGTTTTTAGGCATTTTGACCTCAGTGGAGCTCCTTCAATTTCTAAAAGGTTGGTCTTTTAGATACAAGCAAACATAGATCTTTGATTTAAAAAGCTCAACATTTTTAAAACTATATTTCATTTTATATATAAGTTGAAATTTTGAATTCTTGAAGATGAAATCGTGAATTCGTGAAGTAAAAATGTCCCCCACCGGTCATTCTTAGTTTTCGTACACTATTCCTGCGTGTTGAATATAAGACATTCTTTGTCACAAAATAGTGAAAAAATGAAGCCCCAAAGAACGTATAAAAAGCAAAATTGAAAATGTTACAATTGCGTGAATCGACCATACGATTATGAAATCAATCGAATTTTGAAGTCGATAAAATTCATCAGATGTTTTTATATACCATTTAAAGCATCTATAACACCAGAATGGAATCAATTCAAGAGGGTACTCGAGTGTTTGACAAATATAAGTGTTTTCCTGACAGTTCCGAGTTAAGTAAATATCAACACATCAGTAAGATAACATGAGAGAGTGGAATAATGATAATACAATGGCATTTGTGATCTTAAATAAATACAGCTATTGAAATTAATGGACTCGCGTTTACATTTTTGACAACAACATTTCATCAAGTCATCCAATAACATTCCTAACGATATATTCCCATTCTTATCAACTAACATACTGTACTTTAATATAAATATGTCTCTTATGTAATAAAGGTTAGAGTACTCTGCTTTCAAAATGTCTACGTTAAACATTTTATATGTGTACAAATCACATTATTCTGATATAAATAATGAATATAGTGTAATTTTCATGCGTGTTTTCATAAATAAAACTTCAAGTTTAAAAGAGAAACATTTATAACTTGAACAAAACGCTATATAAAAACAGTGTACTATATTGATTTCATAACTTTTCTTGATACATCATTGCTGAAAGAGGTATACATTTAAATGGTTTGATTGCGTTTTACCATTACCACTACAAAACTTATGGTGTAATTTGTACCTATAACATTCAGGCACTATGTGGGAAAACGTCACGGGGTATAATTGGATAATGTTTAAATCATCATCTAATTCTTATCTTTTTATGTCACCAATGATTGATTCTATTCGAGGACTTAAGTTCAAAAACACGACCAGTTATGCCGTATTAGTTTTGCCTAACATGCTACAATTTTCCATTTCATCTCCCGAAACAGAAACGTATCCATACAGTTTTTGCGCCAATTTTCTGTTGTTTGCGATATAATGAAATATTAGATGAGTAGCGCAGGTGCATATTCAGTAACAGGTTGAGAGAAATTACTTTTATTTCATGATAAAAAATAGTTTCTCAATTTTATGAGACAATAGCAACTGACCTTTGTAAAACCTAATACATTTCAAGAATGCCTGTAGGTGTTTATCTCTGTATATTAAAGGGACTTCCTAAGGATTTTTGACATGACGGGACTGGGTAGATTTTTTTTGTTTTGCACCATCTGATGAAGGTCCCATTAGCTTATTCCGTTTTTTCCAGAATAATAATTATAATTGTGAAAAATGACCTAAAATTGAAAAGCATTGCAACGATTTTTTCCTCAAATCAGAAGAGAATAGCTCAAAACACGTTGGTTTTTTTTTCAATTTATTTCTGAGTAAATTTCCTAATTATCGTTTGCATATTATTTTAATTACCCCAGTTGATCTATGTAAGAAATTAAAATTTTATTTTTTAGGCTTTTGAACCTCAGTGGAGTTTCTTTAAGTAATTTGCTAATAAAAGACTACTTTAACTCACGGTGTTAAGGCGTTTACCACAAATTTTCCACGCAACGTCAAATATCATACTTCTGACCGAGACACCGTATCTTTCTGTCATACAAAATGGATGTCAAGCATGCGTACGACAAGAAAACACATGATTATTTGCCCAAAACAAGGTAAAATAGTCGAATTTTTTATCCATCGAATGAGTCATTTAATTTGAAGCTTATAACTCTTTACTACATGCAAAACGCTTCACTAAGTCAAGATAATGAAAACAGTTGGGGCGTACTGTGAAAAATATTGCTTTGATTGCGAAATATTACGACTTTCTGGTGCGTTTAGTTCATGTGACTGATCGAAATGCAATATTATTTGAACCCTTTTGGCATTTGAACCAGTAACACCACTTAAATGACCTGTTCTTGTATTTGATATGATTTGCACTTTTCCACGTGTATACGTTTAACCGTACAACTTTG